GGGAGGGGGCGGGGGGAGCGCGCCAGCCGCCGAGAGTGGGGGGCGATGGCGAAGCTCCGGGTGGCTTACGAGTACACGGAAGCCGAGGACAAGAGCATCCGGCTCGGCTTGTTTCTCATCATCTCCGGCGTCGTGTCGCTCTTCATCTTCGGCTTCTGCTGGCTCAGTCCCGCGCTGCAGGATCTGCAAGCCACGGAGGCCAACTGCACGGTGCTGTCGGTGCAGCAGATCGGGGAGGTGTTCGAATGCACCTTCACCTGTGGCGCCGACTGTAGGGGCACCTCGCAGTACCCCTGCGTCCAGGTCTACGTGAACAACTCCGAGTCCAACTCTAGAGCGCTGCTGCACAGCGACGAGCACCAGCTCCTGACCAACCCCAAGGTAAGGACGCCCGTGCGCCCAGGGGCTCGCGGAGGACGCCTCGCTCCAGGTGGGTTCGGAGTGTGCTCGCGTTACTGGGAGGAGACCAGGCATCGCAGGCTGTACTCAGACCGGGAATGAGTGCATTATGGAGCACCAGAGCTCTGGTCTTTCAGGTGGGTTTGTGCGCGGCGACCGGCGGTGCCCCGAGGCTCTCTTTACACACCTGTCTCGCCTGGTCTCAGATTTCGAGGGCTCGACCCAGCCCAGGTCCTTCGCCTACAGGACGGGGTTTGGAGCAATGCAAGGAGCCGGGAAAGTTAACTTTTACTCCGATTAAAGTCAGTGGGCAGCGGGGATCCACCTACCCCCGCGCACGGCCGACGTCCTAGCTTCGACTGGCCGCGTCGAGAGCTCGGATGAAATGGCCTTCCTGGGGAGGTCGAAGGGGTCTTTTAGCTCCTCGGAAGTCGTCAGAGAGTTCCTTGAGCCCTAGACAGACGTTTTTAACTTAGGGTCCAAAGAGAGTTCCTTGAGCCCTAGACAGACGTTTTTAACTGGTAAGCCTTTAGGGGTTGACAAACAACCTGGAATCAAATGCGAAATTCTGTGTAGGTGCATTTTGAGGGGTACAGAGAGCTCCTAGTTTTCATGAAGTAGATTGTCATGTAGTGAATTAGGAACCATTGGGAGCCGTCTGGAGAACAGGAAAACTTACTGAAAATAGAAAACCCTCAGTGAAAAGTACCGTATATTCTTTCCCTGACAACTTCTTTCGGTCTCACAAGCAAAAAGAGAATAAAAAAAAGATAAAACCTGGTTAGGACTCCCAAGATGGAGAGCAGAGAGAGGGAGACTCGGAAAACTGTTCCCAGCGGAGAAATAACTTATAAAAAGCAATGTCCTCAGTCTGTGAACTAATTGGGCTTTGTAGTGCACCTGGTTCGCAAGAAGGTTTTTCTTTTTTTCTTCACTTTGTCTTTTCTACTGTCCTTATTGCTTAACTATCAAAGTAAAGGTGTGTATCTTTTTAAAAGTTACTTACATTTTTCCCCTTTGTGAGGGCTATGCTTGAAGATCAAGTAGGGAGACAGTCCAAAAGGAAATGAATCTTGTGTACACAGAAACACTTTCTATTAAATGTGGCAAGATATATTCATATTCACCCAAAGGGAAAATATTCTATATTAGTAGTTTTTAAAATATTTAAAACAAACTTACCATGGCTCTGCAGTAAAAATCATGGTCTTGTCTTCTAAATAGTAAATTCTTGAATAGGGAGAATTTAAAAAAAAAGAAAAATTCCTTTTTAAAAATATGACTCCTCTCAGAAAAATGTTCCTGTTGATAAATGAATATTCATTTACCTTAAAAAATGAAGATAATATATAAGCAATACCTATAGGAATTGTTCAAGCTCTTGAAGAATGTCTCAAAGACAAGTGTTGTAAATTAATCTGCTTAATGCTCAGGAATTTTAAAAAATTGCAGTTTTTGAAAGTTTTTTTTTTTTTTTTTTTTTTTT